AAAATGTAAAAGTGCTCATTGTGCAGTAAAGTGATGGAAAAGTGTTTTTCTATTTATTTGTTTTTTTTAACTATAACTGCTCCATTAATGCATATTTTACTTTTCTACATGTTTGAGACTGAGCTAATCTGAGTTACTTTGTGTACTGTTGTGTAGTTAAATCTCCAGCAGTGCTTCATGAGGTCATCACATGTTTTAAGCGTTCTGTCCCGTGAGAACCGCATGTCCAAAAAGGTCAACTTTTCATGAACTCAGAAAGTACTCTGTGACCTTTTGGGATTTTTTTTCCCAGCACACTCAGGAGGGTCGTTTAACAGTTTATTTACAGCAAGGATTAGGAGACTGTTCTCAACACATAAAAGAGCACCTATTCTTTCAGTTTATCACAAACATTGCCAGACTTGGAGATAAGTTGTTTCCACTGAGCAGGAAATTATGGAACAACTGAAAATTAAGAAGTTACAAAATCTGTTAGACAAATGTTGTGGATTAAAAGTAAGATATTTGCCTCAGATATAGTTGAGTAGAAATAAAAAGTTGAAAAAGTGGAAATACTCAAGTAGAAAGTACCTCTAATTTGGTCTTATTTCAATAATGGAGTAAGTGTACTTTCCTCTATTTCACGTTTGTTGGTGTGTGATGTAAGTGCATGTTCTGAAATCTTTTCTAAGCACAACAGTGTGCTGCACAATCCGTTTTGGTCTTCATTTTAAATACAGCCCTGAGTCTGAGGTCAGATGGAGCTGACTCAGCCAGCAGGGTGACTAATAACAGAATTCCCATTTTTGGGAAATCAAGCGTGACAGACAAGGCAAAGCAGGAAGGAGGGTGTGGGGCCGAAGTGGAATTCTGGACATAATCTTGTGAAAAGGTTCTGCAATATGTTAAATTCAAATAGTAATATTTTTATTCCACTGCAGATAAATTAACTTGTGAAGAAGCATATCCACAAGCTGCTAAAAATACCTGAGAATGAGCCATCTTTCACATGAGTAGTTCAAAAACAGCACGATGAAACATATATTACAGTAAAACCTAAGCAAAGAATTACACAAAATTGCCATCCGGGTTTTTTTTCAGCGAAGATTTAAGTTCCTCAGTCAGACCTACTTAGGACATCAGACTATCAAGCTTTTTAATCTACTGTGGACTATTTCCTCAAGCATGGCACCACATATTTTGCAGCAGACTGTCCGATCTCAGTATTTTCTGTCGCAGCTCGTGCTGTGTCTGAGGCTGACCTGCAAAACAAGTTTGATAGGCTTCAAATCTCTTCGTGAGAAGTTCAGATAAATCAAAGAAAAGATTGTTGATTTAGAAGACATTTTTAGACAACAGGCTGTGGTGCGTGTGATGTTACACAAGAGGGTCAAGTCAAAATGAATGCAGAGAGCTTTCCAGATTCTTTCCATCTTCCGTCCAAAAGTGGAGCGATTAAAGATACAGAGATACCGGGCACTTGTTATGTGAGCACACAGAAGAAATCAGTATAATCTCAGACTGGGAGAAAGACTGCCATCACAAGGCTGCAGGAGCAACAGGTTTTATTTCTGCACTAGAAGCACAGCATTACTTTTAAATTTGTCACGTCATGCATTTACTTTAATCCAAGTGGATCCATGAGAAAGTGATTTTATTTGTCCTTATTTTGACAGAAACTGTTAGTTTTCTTTGATTTGGACTTTTAGTGCCTATGCAACTGTTTGTTTTGTTTTGTAGTTAGAAGTAACTAAGAAGGATATATCAGGAATCTACTAAAGATTTCTCTTGCTGACAGAATGGCTTTTGCTTCTTTTCTCTTTTATCATAATCAGGTTTCACCAAATCGAGTTCCTCTGGTCTACTTCATAGAGTGTTTTTAAAATCTTATCTGGTTGTTAAAAAGGTTCTTAAAGACAGAGGAGCCTCCCAGCTTGTGTTGCTGAGGTTGAGTTTAGGTCCTGTGGTGCCACAAACTAATTATTGGTTTCCGCTGTGCATTCACAAGCACAACTTTTCAAAACTTCTGTCAGCAGCGTGAGGTTTGGGCTTTGATGGACTGCAGAGTCGTAGGGTCCTTTGACGGCAGACTGCAGCTTTTCAGCAGAGCAAATGATATACTGCAGTCTGCTCTTGACCTCTGCAGTGGCAGCAGTGACTGGATGGTGATCGACGAGGTGAAGGTGAACTCACTGGCCCTGTCAGGAGCAGGGAAAGTTTTGCAATTGGAGCAAAAGTCTACAAACAGGATCCTAGCGTAGGTTTCTAAAAACACTAGCAGCTGGAGGAGGAAGTAGAGAACTAATGGCACATAACCAACTTGCTGGCTCTGTAGAAGAACAACAGGGGGTCCAGGAGAGGCCCAGTTATTTCTTTAAGTTGGACAATTCAAGCCCTCTATTGAAAGCATCACCACAGACGTCAGCATGCAGTCGTCAAGACCTGTGATCTTTGTGTTGGGGGATGGGGATGGCAGTTGAGACTTAGATGAATGTTGACATGTGGCTTGTCTTCAGTGTGCTTTGATAGACGCCTCTGGACAGCGGAGACAGCAGGTTTAGAGGCAGAGACAGATAGTCTGGTTCTACCTCTTCTGACATTTGAGCAGCCTGTTTTCCGTCTTAAAGGTGGAACGCGTTATACTTATGGTAAAGCAGGGAGGAGCCTCTGAGCTGGATGATGAACAGCACATCAGGCTACAAAGGATGGTGGGAATCAAAGGGCACGGTGTCAAGACTGTCCCTTTGTGCTTCAGATCAACAATGGAGCTCATTCAGGCCAATTCCCAGAGGCCAGTTGTTAATGATGTTGGGGGATTTAGTGGAAGCTGTTGATGTGTGTCAGTTGTCTTCAGAGCGAAGCAGAGACTTGTTGTTTACATCCCTCAGCCTCTCTCACCTTCTTGCTAAACCTATAATTTGCCTCCTGGCTTTGCCCCCTGCTCTCCTGAACGCCAGTTACTTTAACGGCTTCAGCAGTCTGAGCTTCACTGTGAACCACTTTGTCGCTGCTAACTCACTTTACAGGGTGTTGCTACACAGCATTCCTCACAAAAGTTAAACAGGACGTCACAGAATCTGTGAGTCAGCACGGGAAAAGCACACGTAGGCGAATGTTATTCTATCTTACTCTTACTCATTTATCTTACAGCTTGAGTGGCAAGTTACTTCACAAATTCAAACTTTACCAACAAATGTGCAATCCCTTTGAGAAATAAAGGAACTCAACTACAAACCCAGTATATTGCATAACACAAACTTTTACATTTTGTCAACATGTCTTACATATTTTCACGTAAGTAACATCAGTGAAGGACTTCTATCAATCATTTTCAAGGATCATTTTGTCATTTAATTAAGGATTATTACATTTTTTTTCTGGTTTCAGCAGACAACATCACATCCCCCATGCCCCCAGTCTCTCTGCATTGCTTCACTGTTTGTTTTAGAATTGATTTCGAGATTTTACGGATCACTTAAAGCTGGATGTGGCCCCAAGCTAAACAGCAGAAATGCTGACCCCATTTGAACCAGCTCACAGCCTTAGATCCTCAGGTGGGGGTCGTGTGGTCTTCTTTGCTTATTAAATACTACCTCTGATGAAAACCACATTTTTACCTTGTTCATATGGTGTGCTTTTACATGCTGGTAGACATATTATTATTGATATATAATATATAATATGATAAGCCATGGCTGAATATTTCCACCTTGACAGGGCAGTTCTTTAATGAAAGTCTCAAAAACAAAGGTTCAGACTTCTCTGATGTCATTCGTAGCAAACCCAAGTAATCAGTTTTGTCAGCTTGCAGGGTGGGCCTCTCTTTATCACGCTTCTCCATCTGGTTTGCAACATCTGTGGCTGAATTACTCCATCCTACCATGTTGTAAGGTAAAGCAGTTTTGCAGTGTTTGATTGACTTGATAGATCAGCGGCTAAAGTTTAAAGGAGACAATATTAACCTCTTAAGACCCGAGCTCTTGTTTGATACGCATTATTTTTATTCGAGTAAAAAATTAAAAGCATAAAGAAAATACAAATATATAAAAAAAAATATAGACTATATATAAAATATATATACAGAAATATATATTTTTTAAAGAAATAATAAAATAATACAAATAAAAACAAATTTAAAAAGTTAACAACTGTGGTAATATAACACAAAATGTGATGTCCACGCATGTGGACGCCAGGTCTTAAGAGGTTAAAGATCTCAACCATTTTCAGGCAGGATGAGATGATTTTTCATCGAAAAAAGTTCTAGATATGTAGCTTCGATACACAGAGATGAGTTTTTAAATAAATGACCAGAGAGGGACTTTAGGGTTTTATAGCTTCATCACTTTATCCTGGTTGATTTTGCCCTAATTTATCTGTCAAAAGCACTTTGTAAATGTTTGCTTTAAAAAGTACTATATACATGAAGCTATGAAGTTATTGTTCTCATTATTGTTGTGATTATGGTTATTGTTGGTAACATGTGCACAACTCATCCTCTTTAATGGTAGCTGAAACATCAGACACTTAAACCTGAACAATAATATCAATCCGTCTCAATAGTTATAGTAAGATGTGCAAAATCAGCTTCAGTATCATGTGTAATATTTCATTTTTGAGTGAAATATTTTAAATTCATATGCAACAGTTCATTTTCAGATGTAAACTATGATTTTCATGTGCAATGTTTCATTATAATGTGTGCTATGATTTTACTACCTCATAACCTCTGATAATACTATTTTTCTGTTCAAGGCTCTTTGTCTATTTGCACGGTGTTTATGCAGGTTTATTTTCAGAGCAATATTAAAATCCTTTCCTACATTACGGTATCATCTTTACTGATAAAATGAAACAAGCTGCTCAAAGCGTGCACGTGAAGCAGCTGATTGAATGAGGAAACTTAAAGTAAACACAGTCGTGTGTATTGAATGACAGAGACGAAGATCTCTGGAGTCATGATTGGCTGCAGGAAGTGTGCCTGGATCGGAGGGCTGGCAGCTCGGGGCGGGGCCACATGAGGGATATGTTTTCATCTGTTCTCTTGCCCCAGCCTGCAGAGGCAGCAGCTTCTAGGCGTGTTTACATCGTGTGGCAGAAATGTCTCTGAAGACGGTGGGCGCCACAATAGCTCGCACGTTCTTAGCGAGAGGAAACGGGACTCCCCCTGTTGCTAGATCCCCAAAAGTGAACAGATTTTCCACCTCCTGCTCGCTGTCTGCAGGGAGGCATCAGGGGGAAAGTCATGAACAAATTTCGGACAGGCCGACTGGCGACGCGTCCTCACCCAGCGAGGCGCCTCAAATACGAGCAGCCGGGGACAAAAAGCGAACCAAGGAGCCCGTGGGTGCTCCGGGGGTCCCCGGTGTGAGGAGACGGTCGTTCACCTCCAAGGCTGAGCCCATGGACCAGAGATCCTACCTGTGGGCTCGCTACAGTGACATGAAGCGGCTGGTGCACGGTAAGACCAGGGACCCCTCGTCTTTTTGTCCTGACATAACCCTCCACACGTCACGTCGTGTTTATCCGCGTGGAACTGAAGACAATTTGTACATTTGAGGCTTTCCTTCATCCGCTTTCACGTATCCAAGCCGCACAGATGGCACGTTAATGCTGCTGCTTCTCCTTTGTGCCAAATGCATTTCAGGGAAAAGTTTAGCCAACAGCGAGCGGTTAGAAAAACAGTCAGCAAAGAGAAGTCCGGTTGCATGTCTTCTCCTGCAGTTCCTTTATTTGGCCCTGAAACCCACCCAGCGAATATTCTGCAGAGTACTTTTATGCTTGTGACTAAAACGTGTGTGTTTGCAGGTTTGGTGTGACTATTGCTTCTGTTGGCATCCAGCTGCAATAAGAGAAAACAGATAAAGGTGTTTTGCGTAAAAAGTCCTGTTTTCACTGGTCTCCATGAGATTTTATCTGACCTAAACAGCCACAACGTGCAAATGCACATCTGTGTTAATGGCACAGATATGTCTTTGTGAACATTTAATATTTCTTCAAACAGAATAATTGTGACCAAAGAAGTGTTTGTAGTTTACAGTTTAATCAGGCATCACATTTACTGATCAGTGCTATTCTTTAGTTCCTGATGTAATTATTTGGCATGCTTCTTTTCTTTTATTTTTTTTAAACTTGACTGTAGCAAACATGATTTACAGAAGAGTTTGATATGAAAAAAAAAATAAACGAGTGATCTGTTTTTGTAGTTTCTGCATGCGTTTGAAACGTTTGTTTTGCAGTTTTGTTGTGGTTGCACGTGATTCCATATTTTGGCATTCGGCTGCACGAAGTGAAAACAGATTACGTTGTTCTGCCAAAACCTGGTTGTCCTGCTGTCCAGTTACCACATCTTTGTGTGCTTTTATGTGAGTCAAACAGTCATAACGGGAAAGTCCACATCTGTGGTGCTAGCACAAGTATGTCTTTGTGAAAAGTGAGCATTTCTTCTGAATAATGGTGACCAAAGAGATGTTTGTAGTTTAAAGTGTAATCAGGCATCACATTTACTGATCAATATGATAGTGTTGCTTCTGAAACTGCACCGTAATTTTGTGGTTTGCGGACAAGTTTCATATATAAAATAAAGAAATGATCTTTTTTTTTGCAGTAATCCTACAGACTATTATCCTTAGAATATAACCTTTATTAATGAAATCAAGTCATTCTGATACATTCATAACATTTCAATCACAGTGTAGGGGCTGCAGTCACTTTTTAGCAAGTGTGAAACTGCATTAAAAGTGTCAAACTGTACCTTTAGAACTATTAGAACTGCTAAAAGCAACTGTATTAATTATAATCCAGGGCCAGAGCAGGTATAATAACGCACAGACAGAAGGATATTTGCACCAATGGGTGGTAGTAAATTTGGCACAGCACCTGCAAATGAAAATGCATTGAAACTGGAAGTGTGATCAGACTTGTCATTGTTTATAAAAACATGTGTTCGTGTTCAACCTTGCATGTTTGTGCAAAAAACATGAACATGTCAGAGTTGTTTATTTTGTGTACATGACCCAGCCCTACTTAGTGTGTTATGCAGGATGAGGCATCCGGAGTGTCTGTAAGCAAATAACAGTTTAACTGCATCTAATCACAACTACAAGCCCTGAATTCCAAGTCTTACTTAACTAGAAGTACATAATCAAAATACAGTTAAATTGTCATTTGTAAAAGTGTGTGTTATGCAGCATAATAATATTAAAATAAAATTTTATTTCGAGTGCACCTTTCAAAACTGGAGTTGCAGACTGCTAAACATTAGAATATAGAAAAAAGTAACAATAACACACTGAACGGAGACAGTAAGTCATTAAAGAGTAGTAAAGACAATAAAATACTGAAAAGAACAACAGTAAGACAAACTCTATAAACTGAGCAGTAAGGGCCTAAAACAGTTGAAGCAAGTCCCCTCTTTATTATAAGCCTGGACTGTGGAACTTTGACCAGCGGCTGATTCTCTAAGTGACAGGTCCAGGTGCAGAGCAAAGGGTCAAAACATCTGAGATGTAGGGAGGAGCCAAACCATGTAGACTCTTAGAAGTATTCAGGAGAATCTTAAATTGAATTCTGCATTTAGTGGCCCCCTTCAGCTTTAATATAACAAATGACTGTTGCTAATGCATTACCGCGCAAGCAGTATTTTAATGCTGTAGCTGGTCACACTGAAATTAGGTTTAACTACTTTTTGAGACTATTAGACTGAATTTATAGAAGTGCATCTTAACTCATAAACCAGTCCTATTATATAATGTCAAATCTTATTTTACAAATAAGTATGGCTTCATTCAATTCCACCACAACATATCAGTGTTTCCTGTTTAAACAATGTGCATTTGGTCTTAATATTGAGATGGAAAGTTTTTTTTTTCTCAGTGACTGACTGTGCAACAACAAATTCTTGACGTGCATTGTTTTAATTAAAGCTGGACCACCGGTTAGAATTTCAACATCATTGATCAAGTCTTTTCACTCAGCATGGAAAGAAAGGTGTTTTCAGTAGTGGACTGGCCTGGGGGGAAACACAGCCTCATGGTTGGTGGATGTGTGTCTGCTGCCCAGCTGCAGCCCTCATTCAACTGTCCCAGGACAAAAGGCCATGGCCCACTTTCTCACACAGGTCAATAGTGACACAGTTCTGTGTTCCTACTCCAGTCAGGGCATTAGAGACTGACTCAGGAACAAAATGTAAACTGTTTGTTTAGTCAGTGTGCATGTGGTAGCTGTGTGGTTGCAGCAATCAAAATAGTGGGTAGATTAAAAAATAGATAACCTCTATTGCAAGACGTAATGACCGCTTTCTCCTCCGTGCGCGTGTATGTCGAATTAGTATGGAGTTTCCCGTACAAAATGTTCTTTTTGGATTCATCAAGTTGAGTCAAGAATTAGTTGACGTCTTAGAACCTCGTTACGCAACCTCCGCTGAGCTTGCCAGCCTCACTGGACTGAAAACAGCAGCAGAGTTATTACTTTCTCCCCTGCGGAAGTGTGTAATCAGTACACTTAATTAAAATAAAAAATACTGATTTATTTCTTTTGTTAAAACTAGCCTGGTTGTGTGAAAGCTCTAATCCCACCCTACCTCAAATGATAAGTTTTATTGTTGCTTAATCATTGTTTTCTGTCTAATTGTTTGATTTAAATGAGGGTTTCCAATCTTTCCTTCCTGCATCAGACCTGATCCCACCAGGTGCATGTAAGTCTCTGAACTCCAATGCCATCTATGCTAACAACGAAGTCGACTTGGCCGAGGTGGACATCTACGGCTTCGACTATGACTACACGCTGGCTCTGTACTCAAACGCCCTCAACACAATGATCTATAACACAGCAAGAGGCTTCCTGATCGAACACTTCAAGGTGTGTTTTACAGTGGTTGTGTCAAATATATTGGCTGTACAGTAGCTTTTTAAATCAGTTCATTAACTTTGTCGTCTTGGTTGACAGTATCCGGAGGGCATCCGCAAATATGACTACATCCCAAACTTTGCTGCTCGGGGTCTTCACTATGATATCCAAAAGGTGTGTTCTTTTAAAATCCTATTTCAGGCTATAAGTGTCTATATTCTTTGTACAGATGATTACAAGTAAAACTATATTTTTCCCTTCTGTAGGGTCTACTCATGAAGATAGATGCCTTCCATTACATTCAGCCTGGAACGGTGTATCGGTAAGACGTTGTTGATGGCTGCAGAATCCGAGTTTCACTTTTAGGCAACACTGAAATGCATTTTTTTGAACAATCTAAAGGTTCGGATCCACCTATGCCATATGGATTGTAATCTGTTGTAGCAATTACAATCAAATATATGTATAAGCAGGCTATTTAACTATGCGTTTGAATATGCTTAATAGATATGCTGAAATATACACACATAGAAGCTAAAATACAATGATGGTGATTATTTAGGAGAGTTAAAACCATATTAATAAACTGTACTGCTGATATATGCATATAAGAAAAAAGCCAGATGGGTCAGTTAGAACTTTTAGACCAGTGATGGATGTTGTTGGGCAGCGTAAAGAATTTTAATTTTAAAATTCGAGTGCAGCTTGTTTCGCTGCTCTCTGTGTGGTGTATAATAAAGTGGACAGAAGATCACCAACTCTGTTTCCTTTTATGCCTTTTCTTAAATGTGTAATAATAATTTAGTGTTGAGCAATTTAGTGAGCATCATAGTCAGATTTAACACCATATCACATCTGCATCCAAACTCTACTTGTGTTGTCTGATACAGTAATGTTCTGCATGCTTTTGTAGCTCTAGTCATTCATTTTTTTTATATTTCAGGGGATTGAGCCCAGTGCCAGACAAGGAGGTCCTTCAGCTCTACGGGGGGACATACCATGTGCCCCTGCAGCAGGACAGCGGTTTCTATGGAAAGGTAAGGAGGAATGCAGCAGAGTTGTGTACAGCAAGATGAATACATCTGGAGAATGTCTATCAGGCATATTCATTCAATAGTGTAATAAATAACTGGAGTAAGTGCCTGACATTGATTACACTTATTGTTCCTTTCTCTCTTTGAAACATGTATTTGATTTGGCACAGATGTCACAGCCCCTCTTAAGACTGCAGACTCAAGAGAATATAATAATCTGATCTGGCCGCTCTCAAACAACTAGTTCAGGGTTTAATCCTGTGCTGTCCGTAGATATTCAAAACATCAAGCTTTGCCTGACTTTGTGATTACACAAATCCCAGTAGTGAATTTTGTAATCTCATTTGTTCCATTGTCGTCATGAGTCAGCTGGAAGGCAATGTTCCAGTCCCTAAAAAGCAGTCAATGAGAACTCTGTGTCCGAACTCTTTTGTTTTTAGCTCTGATTTTCTACAAGGATGCACTCAGTCGGTCACAAAAAGTAGAAATCTCTATTGAGTCTGGCACTCACAAAAGTTACAGTGACATGTTTACCAATTAGGAGCAATTTGGACTCAGACGTTTGGAATCAGGCTGAAATAGTTTTCAGCCCATCAGGTCCTTTAAAGTGCTTCCCTGCAGCAGGAAGTTTCCCTCTTGCTGTTTCCTAATCCTCCTTGAAAAACATTCCAACACAAAGTAGTTTTGGTGTGGCACTAACATCCCTCAGGGAATTGGCTCTTTTCAGGAGGCCTCTTAGTGGGTAGGGGTTGTGCTGTAAATGCTTCCTAATGTGATTTAGAAGTCATTCAAAACACCATTGAGTTAACAGAAGTGATTAACAGGCATTAACATGCATTTTTTTACACAGGGACCAAAGGTGAAGCAGTTCATGGACATCTTCTCCATTCCTGAGATGACTCTCATGGCTGTGGCCAATGATTTCTTTATCACCAATGACATTGAATATGATCCAGTTCACCTCTTCAAGGACGTCTCTGTGAGTTTGCCCCCTGACTCGCTGTATTACATGTCTGTTTATGAAGTTCAGACCTCACCCTGTAGCTCACACTGGGAAACATAGTTATTTAGTGTGTTTGACTGTTTAAATGTACTGTGATTCCTCAGCTGGAAGCTCTGGAATCTGCTGACTGTAGGAAATGTTGGCAGTGAACTCATCTGGGTAGAGCAAAGAACAATATCTGCTTTGCCTTTTGTCCTGAGGTGCGAGAGTTTTCAGTTACAGGCGCACCCACTTCATCTTCATATTTCCAGAATAATAAACTGGCACACGAACTGACAGGTTCTTAAAAAGCCCAACCTATGCACATTTACAAATTTATAATTTCATTTTTTAGGTCTGCTATGTTTATATGCCTTAATATTAAAATAACACATTTTTTTCTCATGCTGGTAAGTTCTGGAGCACCTCTTTTTACCCTCTGTTTGAAAACACTTCGTTTTAAGCCCCTGTCTCTTTAAGACCCTACTTCTGAAAAGCTTAGTCTGCTCTAATTGGTCAATTGGTCAGTATAGCTACGTACCGTAACCCCAATAAATGTGGCTCTACTAAGAAAATAATGACGGACTGTGAGAAAGCTGCTCCTCCTTTACTTGAATGGCAAGCGAAGCAGGTGCTATGAAAATGTGTTACATGGTGATGTAAATGAGTAATGATGAGATGGACTATGTCAGTTTGTGGATCTTGAAAATGCACAAACAGGTCACACAACACACTAAACAAAAGCAAAAAAACTAACTAATGTTGATTGTTTTCAAAGTGCTGGACCTTTTCTTCTTTTGTGACAGTAGCTCAGATTTATCTCCCAGTTGGAAATACTCTCTCTAGATTAAAGAGATTACCCTGCAATTCTTCAACATGTTGTGAAAAACATTAACACCTTTATTTTTAATCCTCAGGAAGCAATTGGTATGGTTCACCTCAAAGGCTACATGTACAAATGGGTCATGCAAGATCTCGGTAAGAATTCCTTTTAAAGTTTTCCTGCACATTTCCTGCACATATGACAGTTACTGTGTATTACTGGCTCGTTTTCCTTTGCTTTACAGATAATTTCATTCTGAGAGGAGAAGAGACCGATGCTGTTTTGCATCGACTGGTCAATCATGGAAAGAAACTGTTCCTCATCACCAACAGTCCCTTCAGCTTTGTGTAAGTGTTAGTTACTAAAGCTCCCTGACTGCAGGAGTTCACTTTGACTCATAATCATCTGTTGCAAATGATTACATTAGGTTTTTTTCCTGTATGCAGGGATAAAGGAATGACACACATGGTGGGAAAAAACTGGAGAGACTTCTTTGATGTTGTCATCGTGCAGGCAGACAAACCTCACTTCTTCACCGATTGTATCAAGTGTGTAACTGTTTGCAGTAATTCGTGCACGGCCTTGTCATTACACACAATAAAGTCACTTTAGGTTTTAATTTCGGAAAGTGATCTTGGCAGTATGTTTCACAATTGTTACTCTTGCAGACCTTTCAGACGCTTGGATGGTAACGGAGACCAGCAGTGGGAAAAGATTACCAGCCTGGACAAAGGACAGATTTACAAACAGGTCAGTTATATTTCAGGCTGTTGTCTAACTCCCTTGAAGACTTCGTTGCCTGTGGTCATTTGCTTAGTTGGACTTCTCTTCCAGGATGTGTCTTTACATGTTGTAAATGATACGTGTTTTCACTTGTTGTTTCAGGGAAACTTGTTTGACTTCCTCAGACTGACCGGCTGGCGAGGATCAAAGGTTCTTTACTTTGGAGACCATCTTTATAGTGACTTGGCTGTAAGTACAAAAGGGTCCACATTCTGACTGACTCTTTGTGGTTTTGTGATTGAGATACTGCTCTTGTGTTACATTTATCGGAAGTCTTCAGCATATATTAAAGCAAAGTGGAATTTATTTCAGGAAATGTTGATTTTTAGCCTTGTTAATAGGCATTAATGTTCAGGCACAACTGGTGGGGATGCTGTGATTTGTTGTACATAAGAACACATTACCAGAAACCCGCTATCTCCACCGACAGCACAGCTCTGAAAACCCAGCGTGGCAGTTGGGTGCGGTCAGAGGGGCTTTAGACTGAACATTTCCAACACTAGATGGCAGTACAAGCTGCCTGATGTTGCTTCAGAGACACAGAAAGAATGCTTTGGGTAACTGTGCACTGTGAAGGTTTATAGGAACAATAACAACTGAAGCATGGACATTTTTTAAGTTTTGTTTTTGTGTCTAAACAGCAAAGAAAGCAAAACATGATAGCGTGTGTTGGACCTTTCAAACACATGCAATTCAATGTGCTTCACACAAGGCAAGCACACAAAATCAGATAAATTAAAACAGAGTGAGGTTTAACATTCTGCACCTCAAGCACTTACTAGGTGTCTTTTGCTCCTGTTACATTTTTTACTGTGTAAAAATGTCAATGTAGGTTAATTTTTCACTGCTTTATAGAGTCATGCCCCTCTATGGAAACGTCACAACCATGGTTAGAGGTCTTTTTTGCAGTATAAAAGTCCTGATGCCATAAGTTCTAAACAATGAAAAATGACTGATTTAACAAAATTTAAAAACCTGGAATCAACATTTTTTGAAGTGCCCACAATTGTCACCAATACTAGAAAAAAGGTGTACATATGTCACTACTGACATTTTGAAATAGTTTCTATGCTTGTCTCCTGTCCGTGTAAACACAACCTGGCTTCAACCCAGATTCAGCCAAATAGTCCCTGAATTGCTATGTGACTGTTAGTCACAGCCAAATGAATCGAAGTGAATGGCTTCTTGGTCGTGTCAAGTAACACGATAACTTTTCATTTTTTACTGGACCTGCTTACTGCAAATGGTTTATTTTTTTATAAGTTTTTGAATGAGACATGTAAACTAAAGTGATTTTGATGAGTTCATGGAATGTTGAAAATCTACCAGTTACAATTACAGTTTGTGGCTCTAATAAATTGTGTAATTTTTATGATATTTTTAAAAGAATAACAGGCCATTCAAACACACCCACAGGTTAAATATATATTCATGTCTACAATAAATAAAAAATTGACAAAATGATAGTCATCAGAAATACAGTTCAACATCATAAACTGTAGGAAGATATAATCTCCCAAACTCAGTGAAGGGAATTAAATAGCAATAGAGAAAAAAACAAGTTGTGCACAACATTGCAGCTAAAAGCAGCTTCACAGTGTGAGGTTTTGACTTGAAGTACCACCAGCTCCTGACTTCTTCCTAAAGATCTACTGGGTTTGTAACTTTCAAGCAGATTAGAAATTGAAAGCAGCAGCAACACATGAAAATCTAACTGGAAGCAACAGTTTCACTCATAAAATAAAGATATCCACACATCCAACTGTGTTTATGCATCCCATCTTAGGAGCCAGATGTTTTGCTGTGCTGTTGTCTGTTAAATAAAGATACTGAATGTCTATGGGTCCCTCCAGGATACGAGAATTCTTTGCAACTGCTACAACTTAATCAAAACAATTGTACCATTTGTTGCAGGACCTGACGTTGCGACACGGCTGGCGTACAGCAGCCATAGTGCCTGAGCTGGAGCATGAAACCAAAGTGGTTAGCACCGACAAATATTCCCTGAACCTCACCTGGCTGCAAGCTTTAACCGGTTTGATGGAGCGCCTGCAGGTAAGAAGTTAATCCCTCGATTGTTTCACTGCCCCAACCTACAATACAGGCTGTTTACCTTAGAGTTCTTAACTGATGTGATCACAAAATGTATGCAAAGAAGTGTCCAGTTTCACAAGCTGTTTGGTAGTGCATGTAACTTCTGTCTACAAGCCCCTCTTGTCTTGTGATTGTGTAACTGTGTGAATGAAATGCAGAGAGGCCACGTTTTCACTCTGGTCCAGAACAAAGAATACAATTTGTGTGTGTGTTCTTGCCTTTGAACTGAGAATGAGATTATTTTTTGTTCATTCACATAGACCTAAATTTGATCATTCTATTCCTTACTATCTTAGACGCACCGAGATGCAGAGTCTAAACAGGTTTTTGTGGAATGGCAGAAGGAAAGAGAAGAACTCACGTGAGTCTTGACGTCTTCAGCTCACAGTGAACTCAGTGCCTTTGCTAGTTCTGCTTAGCTGCAACTTCTTTCACAGCTGCTTATATGAATGCATATGCACCTTATGCGACACTAAGTTTTTCTCCAACTTTTTTACACAGGGCGATGACAAAGAACCTGTTCAACCCTCAGTTCGGCAGCATCTTCCGAACGTGTCACAACCCCACCTACTTCTCCAGACGTCTGAGCCGTTTCTCAGACCTCTACATGGCCTCTCTGAGCTGCCTTTTGAATTATGACCTCTCGTACACTTTCTACCCTCGCCGCACACCTCTGCAGCACGAAGCCCCTCTGTGGATGGATCAGCTTTGCACAGGCTGCATGAAGACGCCGTTTCTGGAGGAGATGTCTCACATACGATGAGAGAATCAGAGGATGAGAGCTGTGCTCTCCTGAGATAGGATTTCACATTTTAGGACTGGCAAACACTTGAGATAGCCTGAGGTTATCTTCCATACAGAAATGTTTCTTTTTATCTAAGAAGGTGCAGCACAATTCTCTCTACAGGACACAGTTCAGCAGAGTGAAGACTTTCCCATTGAGCTCACCAGAGGGTGCTATAGATCCAGCAGCCAGCATGTAAACATGTACTGCAGGGCTGACAGACAGGTTTCTGCCGAAATAAAGCTATGGAATACTGGGCTGCAATCGCACAATTTAAACAAATAAAGGACTAAAATCTTTTCGAAATATGTGTCTTATTACTGTTCCTATACTGTATGCTACATATTATGTAACTGTGGATTACAGTGATGCATGTTAATTCAGGATGACTGGATCAATGGTTTTACACACAGATTTGAAGCTCATGTAGTGAGGTGTGTGTGTACAATATGGTCTCTCTGATAAATATCTTGCATTTATTTAATTGGTCGTTTGGTTGCTAGGCAGCGCAGCATCCATTCATCACCACCGTAGTCGGCATCACAAATTCTTTCACTTCCAGCCGCCCGCCTGAACGCAACAGCAAAGGTACTGTACTCTGTCTGCTATGCTATGGGGTCTGTACAGTAAAATGTGTAAATGTTGTTGTTATTGTGTGTCAGAGGTTTCAGCTGAATTCTACCAGCTGGAAGAAGCTGGTGTGGCGGTGTAAGTTTTATCGTGCTGTCCCGTCCAGGAATCGGTGGTGTAGCTGCTGTTTGTTACTACCGTTTTAATGCAATGTACGGTTGTTGTGATATAAATACATGCTGTATTTTAATGCAGGTAATTATTAATAAAGACTCGCATTAAGCTACTCAAATTGGTGTTTTTTTTCTTTCCCCGAGGCAGAAGCGTCCAAAAGTTTGTTTTTAAGAAAGACGCCATTTTAACAAAACCGTTTCATATAAGTTTACTTCAGATATTTAGACTGTGGGCTGGGTCATTTGTGAAGCTGGTGTAGTTTTTCGAGCGTTGTTGGAGAGTTTTTTCCGAGACCAATAGTCGAGCCTCATTTTATTGTGACCTGAAAGCAGAAGACACTGCAGATAAATGTGTCCCATGTCGCCATTTTTCACCTTGTCAAGAACAGAAAGCCCACGAGACTTAGGTTAGATAACAGCAGGATAGTGAAGGTTTATCACTATATTAGCATATTGTCATATTTGAGAAAGCTCATGTCTAATTAAAACACAACTATTCCATTTTTAAATAATTGAACTGCTTTAAAAGTTAGTTTTATGTAATTTAATTGTTCATTCAGTTAAAAGTGTTTATGTTAAAATACATTTTCTAAAAGTCTTAATTTGATAATACCATTTCCCCAATTACATTTTATTTCATAATGTCACTTTTCATGCCAGTTTCTGCAGCTGTGCCTTCAGGTTATTGCATCCTAAACACCTTATTTGACATTTCCTTATTAATTGCACCGCAGCATGTCTGATCCAGGTTTATAGATTAATGTAACATTTGATGACAGAATTACATCCTGGCAGGCTATTGATCCATCTGTGGTTTGCTTTTCCTTGTGAGATGTCAAACCAGGACGTCGTGTTTTCCTCTGTGAAGCCCTGAGTGTGTGTTGTTTGACCCTCCAGCATGAGTAATAGACTGCATCTTCCTGCACATCACCATCTCTTTTGGCTGACTGCTTGTTGGGCTGCATATTCCATGCAGTGTTGAGTTCTCTTTGGGGTGTGTGTGTGTGTGTGTGTTTATATATATATGGATGGATCTTTTGTGTGTGTGTATAACTTCACCCCTTGGCAGATTTGAGAATCCTGAGTGCGAGGCTACAGGTCTCCGTGGTTTCATGTTTTGTTCCATTGTGTGCTGGGAAAATTAGGCTGGAAAAGCACTGGAGCACTGTAACAGTATCACATTCGCATCAAGAAACATAGCATTTGACCTACTTTGGGTTGTGCAAGATGAAGCTACGCAAGGAAAAGTGAAGATTCAGAGCTTTAAGGGGTAGATTTGGTGCCTGTTTATTCTTTACAAACTTTGAGGACTGCATTGCAAAAAAAAAAGTAGAAATCGTATCAATCACATACCCCGACAGCAGTGGTGACTAACGAGCATTTAGCAGTTTTCATTGTAAAACCTATCATAAAGACAAATGTGCTGCAGCTATAAATGCTGCCATGTTTGTTTACTGAACACCACATGTGATCTTTAGTGGTGCATCTGTGTTTCTGCAGGGCTGACTGGTGTTTCGGTTTATTTCATGGCTCCGTGCCTTTGGTGCACAAGTCTGCATCTGAGCTGCAGACGCTGCCAGCACAAGCTTTTTCATGTCAGCTGACCTCTTCTACATGTGATGCATTTGGAATCAGGCAATAAAGCATGAAGCGGAGCAAGAATTAATACATTTAACAAATGCTGTCTTTATTATGTGCTGTAATACAGATCTGATTCTGCTGACAGAGAAACCTCCATGGGACAGTCCTTCAAAGGGAATGATTGCACAGATTTTAGTTTCTAAAATCAGACTCTCCTCTGCCGCTGAGCTTTACCCGCCCCGCTTTTGCAACACTTTATCCTTCTGTGCCTCCATTCTGCATTTTACCAGCTACACCGCTCCTCCTGTTCCATTTCTTCATCATTATCTCGCTCCAACATATTCTCACCTGTAAATCTTTCTGTTCCCTTCCATGTTCAAACCAGCCTTTCTTCATTTCCCTACGTTTCCAGCTGAGTGCCTCTGTGTCTGTCACTACACTAGTCATGGGAAGCTGTGCACTCAGGTTTCTTTACTCTGGCAGCCAGTCCCTCCATGCAGCAGCCTTTTCTATTATTAAATGTAACGGGACCTTTACTTTAACAGCTTACTGTAGGAAGATTTTCCCAGTTGCAGATGATATTCCATCCTTCTGTCTTGCAACACTAAAACAGAAAGAGAAACCCTGCAGAGAAAACACAGACTTGCACAGTTTGTTTGACTGTATTGTCGTTCTTGTTTTTTTGGCAAAGCGTTATAAAACCACAACAGATTTGTTAATTCATGAGGTTTGCATTCCTGATAACCAACAAAAAATAAACAAGCAGATGGGCTCGGCTTGCTGAATTTGGAAATCCTAGTTTCTGTTACAGAGGCTGGGAGGATGAGTAGTGCAGAGAGGCCTCCAGGCAGCAACCTAATTGGCCCCTGCCAAAGTCCTGGAGCGGAGCAGTTTGAAGTCACTGTTGTGTAATCATGAATCACATCTCACATGATAGGCAATTAATCTGTAATGAATGAGGTTAAATCACCATTAGCCCCAAAAAGCTTTTGTGTCTGTTTTGTTGTTGGGGCTTTATTAATTCAATAACATAACATACTCTAAGAGATTTTCCACATAGAGGAAACAGTCATGTAATGCACTGGTACAAATGTGTGTATTTACTGTATATAAGTTACAGATATTTCTGTACAT